ACCGCAGCTCCACCTACAACTACCACACCTACAACCACCGTACCTCCACCAACAACTACGACAACCACCGCAGCTCCACCTACAACTACGACAACTACAACCACCGTAGCTCCAACAACAACTACGACAACTACAACCACCGTAGCTCCACCAACAACAACTACAACCACCGTAGCTCCACTAACAACAACTACAACTACACCAACCTCCACCACTGTGGCTTCAACCGTAGCAAACGTAACAACCTCTGCTCCAGGACCTCGTAAGTCGGACGTTTGCAGCTTCTGTTGCAAAGTTAACTATATTTTACTGGCCCAGATCATAAAGTTGTTTCTTTCTGTTTCTAGAATATGTTATCGCTCTGAACATGAAGATCTCAACCACGCTGTCGATGGCGGACAATTCTGATTACATCTTAGCTCTGGTCAGTAACCCTATTGACTACAAATGATAAGGAAGCAGTTTCAGCCGAACAGGTTGAGCTGAGTTTCACGTCTTAGTCGTCTTCCGCCTCTGAACCTGTGTGTATCTTTGCATCTTGACATGAGCAGCTCATGCCAACTGGGAGATGACTGGAATTTTTTAGACGCAGTTTCGATTGAGCTAAATCAGGCAATTAGTCATGGTAACAACCTGTCTTTTCTTCTGCAGATTAAAAGCAAACTGATTGAGAAAGGGCTGCCTTCAAACATAAGTCTTCGCCTCCTGAGCAGCAGTCTGGTGGTCGTCACAACATCGAGCCCCTAGAGGAACATCACGAAGAACTAACTGATCGCTACAGGAAAATATATTCAGAAGACATAAATATCTTTTTTATGTGATTTTTAAAAAAATCTTTTTGCGTTTTTAAAACCCATCAGTCAACCTGTTTAATTTCTAGGTATAAGAAAATATAATGATATTACTCCGCATGTAGACATGACTGAGAATGTTTTGGTAATTTTTTTATAAATTGAGGATTTTAAAATAAAAAAAAAATGTATTTATATGGCATAAAATGTGAGTTAACTTTTGTTTCTGAAACACCATTGAAACCAGGTAAATATATCAATATGTTTCCACATGTACATGAATATCTGAGGTTATTTTGGTAATTTTCTAAAGAATAAAGGATTTTAAAAGAATTGATTGATTGCATTCAGTGCAATGTTCAATGTAGCGTTCAATGTTGAAGTTTTTTTAATGCAATGTGGATTTTATATTATTATAGCTTGTGCATGTAGTGCCATTATTGTTTAAAGTAGCAGATTTTTCATTAAAACATAATGGAAATGTGTTTGTATTAATTCAGATATAGACAGCTTTAGGGAATATTTGGGGCTTTCTATGATCGATCTTTTAGTTTCCAGTATATATTATATATTTTTTAATGGAGAAAGAGTTCAATATAAAGTCACTTTTTGTTGGCTGTCTGAAAATATTTTAGAAAATTTATGACCGAGTATGAATTTTAAATGCATTTTTAAAAATGTGTCATAATATAAGCAAATGGCAGAATGTATTTAAATGGCACCATCTTTAAAGAGTAATTTAAGGAGTCGGCACTTTCATTCGAAGAGCAGAGACCCATCTGCTGGGTGGGGCCTGGAACCCGTTGATAACTATCTATTATTCTACTTTACGTTTGTGCAGAACAATTTTTCCATCCTCACTTCTCAGACAGAAGTAGGGAGGATGCTCTGCTCCGATATTTCCTCCTGACCTCCTTGTTGCTGCTTGATCACGACTTCATCTTCATCTTCCACTGCACCAGTCTCTCTGTTTTTGCCTCTTTTATCAACATCATTGTGAATATTTGGCTGACACTAAGTGGTGTGATATTTTACCAAGGAAAACCAATAAAGTCGTTTATCAAGAGACAGATTTATATACTTATTCGTCACCAAGTGAACAAGGTGTGAATTGCAATCTGTGAAAAATAAAGATGGCATTCAGATTTGGAGATGGAAAATATTTGGTTAACATAATTATGGCATCTACAGCTTCTTTCTTTGTCTTCTCTGCATCTAAATACGATGAGAACAATCAGACCTATTAGACAGAAAAATACAAAAAGTAGCTTCTAAGTACGGGCATACGTCACTGCAATGTGTGACAAAACTACTTGACTCACATTGTTGTAAAAAATATACACACACAAACTCACACCTAAGGAGAATTTAGAAAGTCATGCTTTTGGACTGTGGGAGGAAGCCGGAGAAAACTAACCCCGGGAATTGAACCCAGAACCTTCTTTTACACCCAAAATTGTTATTTTATTATTGTTATTATTAGTATTTTAACTGTTATTGTTTCCCCATACACTAAAAAAAAGTAGTAAATTTCAAGGTCAAATGCAAACAGCTGTAGTTACCAAAAGTCCTCCATAAAATTAGGGTAAAACATTTTTTTTCTTTCATGATTGCATGGCATTGTCATTGGTAATTTTATGGTTAAAAATGTTGCTGGATTAAGTGTCTTACTGTAAATGTTACCCTGCAACCTTGGATGGCTGAGGGTAAAGTAGATTATGATCTTCCCTCAACATGTGACGCTGTGGTATGAGAAAAACGAGGCTCACACGTTGAGCTTCCTTCACATTCAACCAGAAGATTTCTTCTTCTTCTGTGCAATAAACACACTTCATATACTAGCTTCATTACAAAAAAATGGCTGTAATATACTTTTAAACCAAATTATTCTTTTAACATGCTCCATTTAGCATTATGAATTCCATCAAATTACAACATTAATTCACAAATATATTTACTTATCTAAAACATAATAATTTTGTAGTTAGTGCTTTAAATCCAAGACCTTGTCCTCTTTTCTGAGACCTTTTATATTTAACTATCAAAATTAAAATATGTAAAATGGCTTTTAACTGTTTTAATAGCTTTTACCATTTTTAATCAGCACAGATAAAATATATTTTAACATTTAAGCATCTTAGCTTGTAACAATGTCAATTGTTTCAATAGAACAATAATATTTTACATCTCACATAAACAAACTCTATTTTTAATAAAAAACTGAAAAAGGCGCAATTCTCCTTTAAAACTGTGCCTCGGAACTGAGCTTTACATATTTTCTAAAGATATAATTTATCTGGTTTTTCAACAAACCCATAAAGAAGCATCAAAAAAAATAAAATGAAGAAACCAAAATCCTGTCCTTTGGGTGAGAACTCTCTCAAAAAGTGCCACACAAGTTCAAATGAAGTCCGCAGTTCTTCAGCTAGCTCCTCAACTAGCTCACACGCAGAAGTCCGCTAGCATTAGCTCCAATTAGCCTTAAGAACAAGTCCCGTTTTCGTACACAATAACAATTACAAAACGAACTTCGCGACTTATTAGTTGAGATTCGATTCAAGAACCTTTTTAATTATTCCAAGAAAACTAATATATGTATAAAAACATATTTCTACTGACCTGCAGTATGAGAAAGACGAGACACACACGTTGAGCCTCCTTCACATTCAACCGGAAGCAACTTAGCAGCTAGCTATCACCCCAGCTCTGGCGCAATGAGGCGTTCAAGTGCCATGTCGGAAATCCTAACGTTGAACGAATGGGCCTGTTGGAGTTCATTCATTTCTGTCTCTGTGCTCCACCAGGTCCGTTAACCAGTTTCAGAACCCGACCAACCCGAAGATTGTAGCCAGTTTAGGTTTTTATTCTTCTCGCAATCTGTTTCCTCCCTAAAGGGTATTCTAATCCGTTTCAGTCTAATCAGTTTCAGCCTGTTTACATATGACTGCCAGCAGTCACACATAAACATGGTTATGTAATCTGCAGCGTGTCCGTGTAAGCAGTTAAAAGACGCTAAAAGAGAAAGAGGAAGACAGAATCCATAACAGGCTTTCAGACAATGGTACCATAGAAATCATAGGAATTACAACAGCTACCCCTACTGGATAACAATGATAATGTAATCTAACTAATGGAGAAAATGCTTTTGCTAAAGTGTAAATTCAGCCTGTTGACTCTGCTACAGTGGAAAACTTGTCTTTTGAGAGTTTGGTCTGGACACTGGGTGGAAATAATGCCTGTGTTCAATTCATTTCAATTCCATTCAAAAATACTTTATTAATCCCAAAGGGAAATTAAATGTTGTTGTAGGTCATTAATTTAAATTCTTCAAAGAGTTATTGTATGTTGTGATGTTTGTTGGCAGGAACGGTCTCTTGTAGCAGTCTGTCTCACAGCAAATCTGAAGAAGCCTCTGACTGAAGATACAGTCTCATGAAGTGGTTGGTCAGGATTGTCCATAATTTTCCTGATTTTAAGAATAATCATTCTCTGCATAATGATCTCCAGAGCAGAACCAGAACAGAACCAGCCTTTTTCATCAGGCAGTTGAGCCTTTTTAGGTCCCTGGTTCTGATTCTGCTGCCCCAACAGATGACGACAGCAGAGACGGCGCTCTCAACCACCAACTCATAGAAGATCTACAGCATGTTGGTGCAAATCTCGAAGGATTCCTCAAGAAGTCCAGTCTGCTCTGTTTTGTGATTTTACTTGTGAAAAGTACTGTACAAATAAAAATGTACTTGCTTTTTACTATACTGATGGTGTGACGCAGCGATCAGGTGTCACTGGGTTTAACCACACGTTTAACAACATTCCACCATCTGTCTGTCAATACACATTAAAATGATGGGAAACAGAGGCGGGGAGGAGGAGTACAAATGTTTCCTCGTCTCTCTTGTCTCCAGCATTTGTGGGGAGACGTCGACTCCTTCACCATGTTGCTCTCCTTGTTGCTGCTGCTGCTGCTGGTCAGCGGTTCACAAGCTTCTCATTTTCTGGGTACCATGATGACCTACTACCCAGAGGAAACTCGTGCAGACGGCTCAGTCTCAGTAAGACATGATTCTATGTCAAATATTTTATTTGGCTTTTAGTATTTGATTGTACTTAAAATCTCCTTGCTTTAAATCTGCAGGTGATCCTTCGATACAAGCTGAATTTTGCCTCATGTTTAGATTTTGATACATGGGAATGTAATGGAAACTGTGGAACACAAAACCCGACACTCAGTTTGTCTGTGGTTGAGGAAGTAACTGGTGAATGGTGTCAGAGAGAAGGAGCGATAACTCGTCTGCTCCCAAATAACACCGGATTTGAGACTTTGTGAGTCCAACACTTTAAAAATGAGAAGTAACCAAATCTAAAAACCTATTTTCACAACTTTATTCAGTCGATAAAAAAACACTTCCTCTCAATAATAAAATAAATATTTACAAATATATACAAATATGATCATTATATACAATATGATGTAGCTTTTTTCCAGGTTTTGTTGGACTCTGTGGATCTGAATTAGCACCTGATATGTCTGAAACCTGATCAATAATGTCCACTGCAGGTTGGCTGGTGGAAACTGGATCAATAGCATACAAAACGGGATTGTATCCTGGAGAGCCGTGACTGACGTTGAAGTGAGGAACCGGTCCGACATCGGAAAACCCAACACATCCCCACAGACCACCATCCTCCCTGCTCTGAGGTACGACGTGACGGATGGATGCTTCACTAAACCCAGGAAATATGGATGTTTGTACATGAATGATACAGGCATTTCTCAAAAGACAGACAATGCACAAAGGATTTAATTTTGGGGAAACGTGCTTTTTCTAATTTTTATTACATTTGGCAAAACTTTGCAGGTGGAAAATAATTTACACTCTTCCTAATTACCAATGGAAAAGCCCTAATTGGGATTGAAATGTTTTTTTTTTGTTTTTTTTTATTTCTAACAATTTAATTTGCATGACTTCACTGGTATTTTTCAAAGATTATCTTTTACAATTAGCACCATGGGTCTTGGTTGGGGGTCTTTACCATCACCCTCATCCTCCACAGATCCTCTGGTTTAAACTCTGAAAAACTGTTTCTGCAGCTTTATAGTAAAATCATTTTTAATCAATCGTGCAGATCAGTCAGCAATTTTAAGTGTCTGGGCTACATGACAAATATTCTACCAACTGAGCCACAAATTTAGGTTTGTGATGTTAATATGGATGCTTTTTCTCTCCCAGAATTCCTTCAAACTGTGCAAAAAACATAGATTTATTGGCCTTTGACCCCGATGGAGACGAAGTGAGATGCAGATATGGAAACACATCAGATTCAGAGTGCAACCCGTGTACACCGCCGTCTGTCCTCAGCGTCTCTTCTGTAAGTAACAAGGTCACATTTGTAGCTGGAATGAATTTAATAATCTTTTAATAACTTTACACATTTATGATCATCCTGTTTTAAACGTCTTTGCGGTTTAAAAATATTTCATCAAACCTTCTCAGGGTTATTAAGTCATTCCCTCTTGGAAGCATTATCAGGCGATCTTTAGTTGTTGATAAACATAAAAAAATTAGTGAAGTTCTTCTTTATCCTACAACAATGAAGATATATCTAAAAACAGCAACAACAAAACAATGAAAACTAAAAAAAATCACTTGAGAAGTCATCCAACCCCAGATGCTTAATAAATACTAAATAAAACATCCTGATTTCTGCACAAACTGGATTTTCATGATGCTCCCAGCTCATTAGTTGTAGAGTTTTAAAAGTTACCAATTTCACTGCTTCCATTTGATAAATGAATAAAAACTGTCTGTGTGTATAGAATCAGAGTTTTACAAATGTAGACAACATAGGTGTGAGTGGAGAACTGTTTAATTAGGACACGTTGAAATAACAACCATAAAATATGAAGTTTTTTCTCATGTGTTTGTCTCCTTTCTGTCTCGGTGTAGAACTGTTCTCTGTCATTCAGCCCCACCTACAGCAACTCTGAGCTTCCATACGCCGTCCAGTTGGTGATCGAGGATTTTCCCACCCAGGACATAAATTTGATTCAAACTAACGGATCGCAGGTGGTGAAAACTACCAATGACGCCATCAGCAAGATACCTCTACAGTTTGTTTTGAAAGGTAGGAGCCCAGACTGACGGCGTCTTGTTTTACAGCCATGAAATGCTGATCTGGAGTTTAAAAAGTCCATTTATGATCCTCACTGAGGTTTGGATACAATACCTTAACATCTTCTCAAATAGACATTTAGTACAGGGAATTAAATATTCATATACTGATTAATGCAGGAAATAAAGTTGAGCTGCAAAGAGCTGAACTTGCAGATTGATTTTCTGAAATGACATTTTAATTCCCTGATGGTGAGAAAGAATGTAATTTTCTCTAACATTCTTGACACCTCGGCTCAGCCTCTTTCTTTTGTACCTCCAGTGGGTCCACCGGTGCCGTCCTGTGCAGAAGGCGACTATCTGCCCAGATTTCTGTCTCCAACTCCAGAACACAGAGCTCAGCTCTACGTCCCCGCTGGTCAGGCTCTGGTAATCAGCATCAGAGCTCAGGCGACTCAGTCTAAGTAAGAGAAATCAAAACACGTTAAATTCTAGATCACTGATGTAATTATCAACAGAATAAACCTGGTTATCCTACATAGAAACTCTTATAAATGTATAAATGTAGATGTTTTCTTGCTTCAACTTTGCTTTCTTCAGAGTAACATTGTCTTGCTTTAAAAGCAATAAGTTGTTGACAAGACATGCAAACTACTCAACCCAAATATTAAGCCCTTCTTTTGTTTTGCTAAGTTTTATTCTGGCAAAACCAAAATGAAGAACAACAAAGTTTAATTATAAACCAAATGCATCCCAGCAGCTTCTAAATACTCAACCTGCTTTGACTTTTCCTCCAAACCTTCAATCTGTAGTTTATGAAAGTTATAAAACTCGTTAAGCTGGATGCCAACTTGACAAGCTTTACCCAAAGACAGGAATTCGGTCTGATCAGTTCTGTTCTCCAGAATAGAAGCATAAAAGTTTACAAAAACACAAGAAAAACATATGACACTACCTCCTGTGCAAAGCATGAGAAAACCCCAGTGAAGGAAATTCATCTGACTCTCCAGATCATTTAGATTAAGAGATGAAAAAGCCTGACCGATCTGTTTGTGTTCTGTTTGTTAAAAGCATCACCGGCCTCCTGTACAGCGGACCTCACAACGCGGTGAAGGCTTCATTGGGATCAGGAAGCTTCTCTCTGACCTGGACGCCGTCTGCCAGTGAGGATGGACAGAGCCACCCCATCTGTTTCGTCGTCCAGGCAAAGTCAGTGTCTTAGGATAAACTTCACATTGTGTTAAAATGCTAATTATTATAAGTGGAAAAAATAACGACTACAATGTAATTAATATTTTGATTATATTGCATTAGTGGGCAGTGGTTGAGTTTTCAGCTGCAATACTTATTCCTCTAAAGAAACTAAGTAACGTGTTTCAAAATATATAATATTCAGTGTTTTCCTTTATAATTTAAAGTTTATCGTTTATATCCAAACCTCTCAGTTTCTCTGTTTGAGTGACCAACTGACGTGAAGCTGTTTTACTCATTTAAAACAAACAATAAATGATTGTTTCCTCCTAAGCTGTGCTGCTTAGCAACAGTTAGCAGCTAGCACGGTTAGCATCATTCACTGCAAACTGAAGTCTTCGTATTCTTTAGAGCACGGGTTCCTAGCCCTGCCATGCACATTTTTAGACGTGTTTAATTTAAAGCACACTTGACTCAAATGATTGTGTGACTTTCCAAACCAGCCAGGTGCTGCAGAAGCCGTTTAATGAGTGTCAGTCATTTAAGTCAGGTGTGTGGGAGCCAGGAGACCCTCAACAGGCAGGAGTACCTGGGTTGGGAACAGCTGCTTTAAAACTGTGTCTACTGTAGATCTTTATCTTGAAACTGGGATTACCAGAAGGTTACATTGGGAATATTTCCAAATGAAGAGCGGAGAATATAGTTTCCTTTCTCTAATCTTCTTTCAGCTTTTGTGCTTCCTCTTACTTGATTATTAAACGTATCACTGACACTGAAAGCAGCTGCTTTGTAATGGCATCTACATGGAAGCATGCTGCTGTTGGAGTAAATACCATCTCTGTTAGTTCTGTCGCTGGTCTAAGTTGATCAAGCTGAAAATCTATTAATTTCTCAATGCACCTTCACATAAAGCAGAGCAAAGATCTTTACATCAAACGATCTTCCAGTTACTTAAACTAACATGTTCTTTAATGCCAACCAATGCTTTTAACATGATAGCAGTTTTAATGAAGGGTAATACATTAAAGCTTAAGTAAACACCTCTTATTAGCATTTATGACAAAATAATTTTGACCTTTGCAACTGGAACAACAAATACAGCAGAAGGAACAATTTTTTTCAGACCCTTCGGTCGATAAACTTTGTTTCTAGAATCACTAAGCATTTACATTTTCCCCAATAATCTAATAATAAAGCTTTTGTTTTAAATTACTTCCACAGTTACTCGAACACTTTGCTGCACTCTGACCTCCGGTGTGTTATCGTGACGGTTGGAAACGGTGAGTAGATTTCTCCGTCATGTTTTAAGTTGAATCAGTGGTTTTCTTCATTCCTGAGCTTTCTGTGGATCTGGCTTTCTTTTCACAGGCCCATCGACGTCTACACCAGTTGTCTATGGAACTACACCAAGCCCCCCCGTAACAAACTTAACAACATCTGCTCCAGGACCAGGTCAGTAGGACATTTGCAGACAGCTATGTTTTACTGCAGCACAGCTGTTATGTGAAATCTTCAGGCTCGGTGCATAAAGTTGATTCTTTCTGTTTCTAGAATATGTTATCGCTCTGAACATGATGATCTCTACCACGCTGTCGATGGCGGATAATTCTGATGCCATCTTAGCTCTGGTTAGTAACCCTGTTGGCTACAAATGATCATGAAGCAGTTCCAGTCAAACAGGTTGGGCTGATTATCCCGTAAAGTCTTCCTCGTCTTCCTCCAATGAACCTGTGTGTATCTTTGTGTCTTGACATGAGCAGCTCATGCCAACTGGGAAATAACTTACATTTTTCAGGAGCAGTTTCGATTGAGCTCAATCAGTCATGGTAACAACCTGTCTTTTCTTCTGCAGATTAAAAGCAAACTGATTGAGAAAGGGCTGCCTTCAAACATAAGTCTTCGCCTCCTGAGCAGCGGCCTGGTGGTCGTCACGACATCGAGCCCCTAGAGGAACAACATGAAGAACTAACTGATCGCTACAGGAAAATATATTCAGAAGACATAAATATATATTTTTAAGGGGATGATTTTTATCTTCTGGCATTTGTAAAACAATCAGTCAATCTGTATAATTTTTTACTTTATTTCATATGTTGAAATAAATGACTATGGTTAAAACTGTTAATATAGTAATGTCATTTTTATTTCTTTATGGTTTGCTTTAAATTTTTGCCCAATAAAGAGGCAGTTGCCTTCTGGATGTAGAATAATGTCAACAGTCTGAATGTTGATATTCAGTCAACATTCAGACTGTTGACTGAATATCAACAGTCTTCACGATTTCTCAGTTACAATTTTAAGCATTTGCCGTTCAACCTCCTCACCAAGGTCAGACATTTTAAGCAGATTTAGCCCCCTGTCCTGTATGGAGCAGAAAGCCGTAGAACCTCGAGCCTCAACCCACTGTGAACAAAAAGAGCTGAAAGACGGTGTCTGAGAGCCAAGAGGTAATGTAGTGTTTCACATATCCCTTAGTTTGGGACCAAAGCATGTGTCTGAGGTCAGCAGGGGGCTGATGACACTCACTGAGGGAACTATCTGGGACAGATTTACCTTTGTCTAGTCGTAATGAAGAACAAGTTGAATGAAAAAGTGAAGCACTTAATTTGTCTACACTGCAAACTTCATCTATCAATCCCGCCTCCAACTAATAGTCATCAGATATGGATAGTGACAAGAAAAATTAAATTATTCCTTCTTAGAGTGACCGGACTCAGTCTTGGAGTTACAGTTGCAGTCTTTGGGAGAAATGAACTACTACCTCTCCAAATTAAAAAGTCATTGGGGGATTTAGTCCTGGGGAAGACTTAGGGAAGACATGGCTCTCAGTGGAGGGAAGACTTTCTAGGTCTAACCTAGGGTCTTCTAGGTTTCGTCTTCTAGGTCTTGGGAATACCTAGACGTAGAAGTAGGTCTTTACAAAAATGAGCTAGACCTATAGATGTCAATGAACGAGATGTAGCTCTCCACTAGAAGACCTAGACCGTCTAGAAGGGAACACCTAAGGGGTGTAGGTCCAGTGGAGACCTACACCCCTTGAGGCCCAGGGAAGACCCTAAAGGGTCTAGGGAAGACCTAAGGACCTTCACTAGACCTAGACCCATCACTACAGAAGACCCAAAGGTCAAGACCCTAGACCTAAAGGGTCTATGTCTTCACTCGACCTTAGGTCAAGGGTGCTCAAGTCCAGTCCAGTGCTCAAGTCAAGTCCAGAGCTACCATCGTGCAACTTTCAGATGCATCCCTGCTCCAACACACCTGAATCAAATGAATGGCTGGTTACCTGGTCTGTTCACAGCTGAATGACTGCTGGTGAGGGAATTCAGCCAGTTGATCCCAGCCTGTTGGTATAGAATTTGAAGAACGGTAGATCTCGAGGACTGGACTTGAGCACCCATACCTTAAATCTTCCCTAGAAGTTTTTCCCTTCTACAAGGTCTTCACTAGAAGCCCTGGACCTCTTCCACTGAGGTCTAGGTCTTCCCTATGTCTTCCCCAGGGCTACATCCTCAGACCTGAGGTCTAGGAAAGATCTAGACTCAGGTCTAGCTCGTTTTTGTGCAAAATATAAAAATGAACTTCAAGGTTGCTTCAGGGAGAGGGTTGATTTATTTTTTAGCAGGTGAATGAAAATAATTCACAATGATATAGTATATTTTTAGGGGTTTTTTTTTAGTACATCTAACAAAATGTTTCAACACCACTTTCCTACATGGTGTTCCTTTACCATAACACAAAGCTTCAACAAGAGTTTAATGTTTTCCAAATAGTTTTAGTTGGTTTGATGAATCCTGTCATCTGTGATCCCTTCAAACTTTAAATCTATGAAAACTGTGTAAATCATGTAACGTATTCTCTGGTTAAGTATTTGCATAATGGCACCATAAAATTTACAACAGCTACCCCTGGTGGACAATAATAATAATGTACTCTAACTACTGGAGAAAAATGCTTTTTTTAAAGTGAATATTAATCCTGTTGATGTTTAGGGTGGAAAATGTCTTTTGATAGTTGGGTCTGGACACCTTTAGTCCGTGCAATTATTGCTTTTGCTGGGCCAGACGCCAAATCAAGCCAAGTTTATTTGTATAGAACATTTCAGCTACAAGGCAGATGAAAATGCTTTACATCATAAAAACATAATACAGTCATGAAACAAGCAATACAATTTACATTTCACCAAAATCATTATAATCAAAATCATCAAGCAAATACATATCAACTATACTGATCAATGGAAGAAGGATGAGGCAAAGCTAATACCTGCACCTTGGCTCTGATTGGTTGTTTATAGTTAGAACTGGGAGAAGTATTTTCACAGATGATCTGTCTCATACCATATTGTCACAACTTAGTGACAGCTTCAACTCATCCTGGATATGCGGAAGACCCTGACTTAATTGCTGCCCTGGTTTTGTGTTACAGCCCTCAGGTCTTATTGCGTTTAACCACACGTTTAACAGCATTCCACCATCTTTCTCTCAAGTCACAAAGAGATGATGGGAAACAGGAGGAGTATAAATGTTCCCCCTCTCTCTTATCTCCAGCACTTATGAAGAGACGTCGACTCCTTCACCATGTTGCTCTCCTTGTTGCTGCTGCTGCTGGTCAGCGGTTCACAAGCCACTCATTTTCTGGGTACCATGATGACCTACTACCCAGAGGAAACTCGTGCAGACGGCTCAGTTTCAGTAAGACATGATTCTATGTCAAATATTTTATTTGGCTTTTAGGGTTTGATTGTACTTAAAATCTCTGCTTAAATCCGCAGGTGATCCTTCGCTACAAGCTGAATTTTGTTTTGTGCTCACATAGTGATACATGGCAATGTAATGGAAACTGTGGAACACAAACCCAGACACTTGGTTTGTCTGTGGTTGAGGAAGTAAGCGGTGAATGGTGTCAGAGAGAAGAAGTGATAACTCGTCTGCTCCCCAACAATAATGGATTTCAGACTGTGTGAGTCCTCCACTTTAAAAACATCACTGAGAATTAATCACATCTAAAAATCTATTACCACAATTTTATTCAGTCAATAAAATACAATTCCTTTCAATAATATAATATTTACAAATATGATCAGGAATCACAGTATGTAGCTTTTTTTCCAGGTTTTGTTGGACTCTGTGGATCTGAATTAGCACCTGATATGTCTGAAACCTGATCAATAATGTCCACTGCAGGTTGGACAATTTTGCCTGGATCAATAACATACAAAACGGGATTTCAAACTGGAGAGCTGTGACTGATGTTGAAGTGAGGAACCGGTCCGACATCGGAAAACCCAACACATCCCCACAGACCACCATCCTCCCTGCTCTGAGGTACGACGTGACGGATGGATGCTTCACTAAACCCAGGAAATATGGATGTTTGTACATGAATGATACAGGCATTTCTCAAAAGACAGACAATGCACAAAGGATTTAATTTTGGGGAAACGTGCTTTTTCTAATTTTTATTACATTTGGCAAAACTTTGCTTATGGAAAATAATTTACACTCTTCCTAATTAACAATGGAAAAGCCCTAATTGGGACTGAAATGTCTTTTTTATTATCATTTCCACAAGAGCTTTTGCATGACTTCACTATTTTTCAAAGTTTATCTTTGACAATTAGCACCATGGATTTTTCAGGGAGTCACTCTAATTTTTAGGTTCCTTCATATATAATCTGGTGTTTAACTGTTTCTGTAGTTTTATAGTAAAATCATCTTTAATCAATCACATGCAGATCAGTCGGCAACTTGGTGTTAAGTGACCGGAGTCAAACTTTCAGATTGCAAAAATCTGAAAGACAAATACTGAGCCACAAATGAGATATTATGGATGTTTTTTCTCTCCCAGAATTCCTTCAAACTGTGCCAAAAACATAGATTTATTGGCCTTTGACCCCGATGGAGACGAAGTGAGATGCAGATATGGAAACACATCAGATTCAGAGTGCAACCCGTGTTCACCGCCGTCTGTCCTCAGCGTCTCTTCTGTAAGTAACAAGGTCACATTTGTAGCTGGAATGAATTTAATAATCTTTTAATAACTTTACACATTTATGATCATCCTGTTTTAAACGTCTTTGCGGTTTAAAAATATTTCATCAAACCTTCTCAGGGTTATTAAGTCATTCCCTCTTGGATTTTTAGTTGTTGATAAACATTAAAACAAATTTGTGAAGTTCTTTTATCCTACAACAAAAATGAAGATATATCTAAAAACAGCAACAACAAAACAATGGAGAAAATCACTTAAAATGTTGTCCAGCCCCAGATTTTTAATAAATACTAAATAAAACATCCTGATTTCTGCACAAACTGGATTTTCATGATGCTCTCAGCTCATTAGTTGTAGAGTTTTAAAAGTTACCAATTTCACTGCTTCCATTTGATAAATGAATAAAAACCTCTGTGTGTATAGAATGTCCTGGTATTAAATCAGAGTTTTACAAATGTAGACAACATAGGTGTGAGTGGAGAACTGTTTAATTATTACACGTTGAAATAACAACCATAAAATATGAAGTTTTTTCTCACGTGTTTGTCTCCTTTCTGTCTCGGTGTAGAACTGTTCTCTGTCATTCAGCCCCACCTACAGCAACTCTGAGCTTCCATACGCCGTCCAGTTGGTGATCGAGGATTTTCCCACCCAGGACATAAATTTGATTCAAACTGACGGATCACAGGAGGTGAAAACTACCAATGACGCCATCAGCAAGATACCTCTACAGTTTGTTTTGAAAGGTAGGAGCCCAGACTGACGGCGTCTTGTTTGACAGCCATGAAATGCTGATCTGGAGTTTAAAAAGTCCATTTATGATCCTCACTGAAGTTTGGATCCCTTTACAACTTCTGAGATAGACATTTAGAGCAGAGAATTAAATATTAATTTACTGAATAATGCAGGAAATAAAGTTGAGCTGCAAAGAGCTGAACTTGCAGATTGATTTTCTGAAGTCACATTTTAATTCCCTGATGGTGAGAAAGAATGTAATTTTCTCTAACATTCTTGACACCTCGGCTCAGTCTCTCTCTTTCTTTTGTACCTCCAGTGGGTCCACCGGTGCCGTCCTGTGCAAAAGGCGACTATCTGCCCAGATTTCTGTCTCCAACTCCAGAACACAGAGCTCAGCTCTACGCCCCCGCTGGTCAGACTCTGGTAATCAACATCAGCGCTGAGGCGACTCAGTCTAAGTAAGAGAAATCAAAACACGTTTCAAGAGGTTCACTGATGGGCAAAGTTTGAATTCTAGATGATTGATGAATAAAGTTGTTATCATACGAGTATACTTTCAGACATTTTCCTGCTTAGACTTTGCATGACTTGTTAATAACCTACTGCTGTTAAAGTAAGATGATGAAGAAAGCAAAGTACTCAACCCAAAAACTAAGCCTTTCTTTTGCCTCCCTAAACGTTATTCTGCCAAAACCAAATGAATGAAACCATAAACAGTAAAGTTTAACTATAAACTAAATGGATCCCAGCAGAAATCTGAAGTTGCTTCTCCAGACTTGACCTTCATTCCAAACTTCCAGGCTGCAGTTTATGAAAGTTACAACATTTTCTAAACTGGATACCAGCTTGGCAGGTTTTACCAGAGTCAGGAATTCAGTTCTACATGTTCTGTCACTTAACTCCTCAACAGAAGCATGAAGGTCACCAAAGCAAAAGAAATGTATGCGACACTCCTTCCATGCTAAATATGAGAAAACAACAGTTGAGGAAATTCATCTGACTCTCTAGATCATTTAGATTAAGAGCTGAAGAGACACCTGACCAACCTGTTTGTGTTTGTTAAAAGCATCAACGGCCTCCTGTACAGCGGACCTCACAACGCGGTGAAGGCTTCATTGGGATCAGGAAGCTTCTCTCTGACCTGGACGCCGTCTGCCAGTGAGGATGGACAGAGCCACCCCATCTGTTTCGTCGTCCAGGCAAAGTCAGTGTCTTGTGATGACCAATTATGATTACAATGTGATTAATATTTCAGTTATATTACCGTAGTGATGCCTGATGGACAGGCTTGCATTGGGAATATTTCCAATCCCAGCATGCCCCACTACAGGCGGAGGATGTAAGTAAGGTACAAACTAGAGTTACGTGGTTGTAATTGGTTTAGCCTCGTTGCTATGCTAACATCCTGAATGAACTGCAGGAAACATGGCTTCCTTTAAAGGAACTTAAAACATTTAACTGATACTGAAAGCAGCTGACTTTGTGTCTTATTTACTTAGTAACACCATCCACACGGAAGAGCATTGCTGATAAAGTGAAGCTGTATCATTTGGGTGTAGAGTATTTAACTGGCTGATCAGTGGGTTTCAATGTATCGTCACATTTACCAGATCAATCATCTTTTCAGTCAAAGATCTTCCACCAAGTAGATAATGTAGGTTTTAATTTAATTCAACTCACATGTTGCATAATACCAACCAATACTCCTTACTCCAAACCAGCAATGGTGTGGCTTGGTTTACCAATTGATACCAGTTTTAGTGAAGAAGATCCATACAGTTAGTTAACACTTTGTCATAATTAATATTAGCATTTATGACAAAAAGGTTTTGATCTTTCCAGCTGTAACTGTAGGAATATTTGAGTTTTCTCATATGCTCTCACATATAAACTTACTTTGTTTCTGGAATCACTGTTATACTTTATATATTTGACAACAATCTAGTAATAAAACGTTTGTTTTAAATTACTTCCACAGTTATTTGACTACTTCGCTGCACTCTGACCTTCGGTGTGTTATCGTGACGGTTGGATACGGTGAGTAAATTTCTCTCTTAATCATCATGTCTTAAAGTGCATCAGGGTTTTCTCTATTCCTGAGGTTAATGTAAATCTGGCTTTCTGCTTACAGGCCCACCATATATTACGGCTCTGAACCTGAAGATCTCCACCACGCTGTCAATGGAGGATGATTCTGACGCCATCATGGCTCTGGTCAGTAAACCTCTTGACTTCAAATGATAAAGAAGCAGGTTGGGCTGGTTATCCTGTAAAGTCCTCAGTGCCTCAAACAGCCAATCATGTCTTTTCTTCTGCAGATCAAAGACACACTGGTTAACGAAGGGCTGCCTTCGACCATAAGTCTTCGCCTCCTGAGCAGCGGTCAAGTGGTCGTCACAACACCGAGCCCCTAGAGGAACATCACGAAGAACTAACTGATCGCTGAAGGGAAATATATATTCAGAAGACATAAATACCTTTTTGGGGGGATGATTTTTATCCAAAACCATCAGTCAACCTTTATAATTTATTTCGTTTATTTCATGTTTAGAAATAAATGATAGTGATCAGTGGTTAAAACTGCCTATGCAGTTTTAATTCTCTATTTCTTTGATGATTCTAACAAGCACTTCACTAAATGCAATGTCAATTACTGGTTTTCACAACTGTTGACTGTATGGTATGTTTATGTTTTTATGTTTTCTTGATGTAAAGCACATTGAAATGCCTTATTGCTGAAATATGCTTTACAAATAAACCTGATTGATTGATCGATCGATTGAGGTTCTCATCTGAAGAGAAGACCTACTGAACTGTCCGGCCTAACGTCTGGGAGGAATGGCAGCTGAGAAGAAACACTAAAAAAAAGCATGTCTTAATTTGCAAAACCCATTAAATTATCTCAACTTCATTCTAAAGTTTACAGAAGGAGAAATATTTCCTGGTTCTGATCTTGGGAAAAACCGGTGTGTCAAGTCAGTTACTGTAACTTGCATGAAAGTCACTAGGTTGGAATGTGAAACATTTCTGGACTCGTTTGGTTTTATGGAACCCAACCGAAAAACAGGTGAACTCACAGCAGGTTGAGATGTTGGCAAACACAAAGCTTCTGTCCTGAGAGCGAAAAGAAATCAGTTTGAAGAAAAGAAAAGCTGACTGAAGAAGTCCGACAAAATATTGTGCAAAGAGAGACGCAATGCAAAAAAATATCCAGAATTAAAGGTCTGAGTCCAAACAATGTGAGTTCAAGAGACAAAGAGAAAACAAGCAAGTTCAGGGTTTGTAGAACTCTGACATTCACAAATAAAGTTTGATTTGCAAACAGGAGTAATATATTCACAATATACACAATATAATTATTGTCCTCTGTGATAGCAATGCGATTCTGAATATTAACTGATTGTATCTCAGCAATGCAATCTTTCCTGCAGCTTCCTACAGTCATTAGCCTGTGTGCTAAAAAGCATCAGAGTAAAAGTTACACCAACAGCTGCACTTAGTGGACAGTCATGAAAATACAAGTAATTCATGCAGATATAAATGAGGCTGCAGCCAAACTACTGCAGCCATCATGTGAAGGTTTTCACAAAATTAGATTTCAATAATCCAGGATGAGAGAGGAAAGCCAAGGCTGACTCAGATAAGTCAGAGAATCTCATTTAACTGGTTTCACAAACGCAAAGTCAGTCTGAAGGGGAAAACTTGTTTGTCGGGGCATTGATGAAATGAACTGAGATGATTTTTTTAAAGGCTTTCTTTTTTCCTGAATTCAAAATATATGCAACAAATGACCAAAATGAGTAAGGTGAATGAATGCATGTTGAGGCTTAAGGTGGGAAAGAGAACAAATATTGTGACCAGGAAAAGGAAAAATACAACAAAGTGATATAGTCTTATAGTGTTTAAGGTTTCTGCAGCACTTTAAAGAAGACAAATATGAAAATACATGGGCAAAAAGAAGACACTAGAGAAGATGAGGATGGTTTTGTGTTGTCTCGTTCTTTGTTTCTTCTTGTTTGTTGCTCTTTGGTTGAGTGTTGTTTACCTTTGCTGCGTTTCTTAATTATTATATTAATTGTGCAGAAGATGATTTTTATTCCTGCCAAAGCAACTCAAGTCCACTTTTCTCCTCTGCTGTTTGTTACATTTTCCTTTGGTTTGTATTTTTAAAAAAGCACTCAAATATTTTTTATTCGGACAACACTTTTATTGTGTGTGCTTGACAGATTTTGGAATTTTATATTTTATGAAAATGTATATATAATTTTTCTGTAAGAACAGAAAAAGAACTTAATACAGATGATTCAGCTTTTTTCTGTGAACTACACCCGAAACCTATAAGCACTGACAGTAAATATTTCTAAAGTCAGTTTTACAGCAGAGAACAGAAACATAATGAGTCCTTCGTGGTATTTGGCACCGACTGAAAGCTTTGTTACCGGTGGAGAACGTAAACAGCACTGAACTTCCGTCTTCCTTGTTTTCTGTGGCATCAGTCATGTGAAGCTGTTTCACTAAAGCTGACATTTTCAAAAGGTTTGCAGTGAAGGAATCTGACAGGAAACCAAACATGTTTGTGTCATGGAGACAGATTTCACAGCATATAACCTGACCGAGCAAAGAAAAGAGGAAACCAGGGCGTTCAGGTACGTGGGGACACATTTGGCACCTTGGAGGCTTAAAAAAGGACATCAAAAAAATACAAATATCTTGTTATGATGGATTATTTACTGACATTGTGTAATGAGGAATATCAGTTTTTGAAAAGGTGGGGCAAAGAGAAGGTGTCTGAGTTGATCATTAACGATGCTGCCCCCTGTAGGGACACAGGGAAATTGTTCTTTTGCAATACTTGGTTACTTTGAATAAAAGACTTTCTGATACAAATAAGATTTTGTAAGGCTTTTACATCTGAAGTTTTATATTGTTTTCTTTTGGTGTATTAAAAAAATACACCATGAACCGATGTGCAAAATGCCAGAGATAAAACAGGTTAAACATGGATTTAGACAAGGGCTTTCAACTTTAAAACATAAACATGACAGACACTTTCTGTAAACGAAAAAAAAAGAAAAAACACACCTCACTATTTTGGTTGTGTCTTTATTGTATTGTTAGTCTGAATGGAGAAGGGCCGTTTTCATGTGCAAACATTGGATCAATGGTCAACCAGTTTTCTGCTTCAGAGTCTACAAATATTCAACTTTAAGTTGACATGTTCAGTCACTGCTACGGCATGCCAAATAAACCAGGTATTTGCTCATTTATTTGGTACTTGTTCATTTATTCCATGGTTTATCCAACTAGAAAGAAAACATCTAAGTTGCATTTTAGTCAAATGCCTGAATAAACTTGTTGCAGTAAGCGATAAATTAATCACATGATAAATGAAAACAAATTCCTTTCCATTTGTCGTTTTTCTCTTTTTTTTCTACCAAAAACTGTATAAGAAAAGTCTCCAGTCTGTTGTTTTGGTCTCAACTAACCTTTTTTTAAGGACTATTTTGTTTAGAGACTTTATAGATTATTTTATTTGTTGTTTCTGTTGTTTATTTATTTTGGATATTATGTTTTCCAGTTACAGTGTGAAATGTTCTAGATCTTTAAGAACGTGACATTTCATTATAACATTACCATTTCTTTATCCAAAAACTGTCCCTTAAAAGGCTTATTACTGGGCCAAGGGACATTTTACTGTTTGCATCAATTGGTGAACAATTTCTATCAGAGTATTCTGGCTTTGCAGTCTTTGTCCACATTCAACAAAAGGAATAATAACCTTTCCCTTTCATTGATTCAAATAAGAATAACTCCATGATGCAGATGAGAGATTAAAGAAAAACAAGTGACATTAAATCATATTTCAGGATCAAGTTCATTCTCATATTTAGCCACTAGGGGGAGACTGTTGTAAATTTCACTGCTCCACTGCTGAGCAGCTCCACTATTATGTCTGATGGCAGTCCTTGTCTCATCAGCTCATCTTTGATCTGAAGAAAAAACACATTATATAAATAATAAGCCACACAGAACGAAGCTAATGTACATTTTCATGCTAAAAGTCAAAGTTGAGCTTTGGTGCTTTGAGCTAAATGAGTTCCACGCTTACAAATCTCTTAAGATAGAATAACATTTTTACTATTCAAGTACAAGAAATCGATCCACAAGATGAAAACAAAGTAATTTACCGCAGAAACAACTGAACCTGTTGGACAAGAATGAAAATATTAAAGTGAAGGATATACTGACTGACCAGGTTTATGATGGTTGCAGAGTCATTTTCCATTGACAGTGTGGTGGAGATCTTTGCATTCAGAGCCAAAACATAATCTAGAAGCACAGAGAGTCAATGTTACTATTCACCAGGATAATTAACCCAGCGGTGCAGCTGTAACAGGAGGGGCTGCAACAGGAGCAGCAGATTGAAGTTCATCACATTCATGAACGTAAACTAAATAATATTTGAATAAGAACTATAAATAGTGGCTATTTTGTACATCTTTTTTTACACAATTTCAAAACACATTTTTTGCGTGTCCAAGGGACATAAATTTGATAATAAAAGGCTTTAGGAAACAGTCGACATTTACCAGGTTTGGTGATGCTCTCTAACTTCAACTTACATGGTCCTGCGTCCAGCTTGGAGTTTAGGATGGAGGTTGTAGGAAGTGCAGTTGTTGTGGGTTGGTCGGTTGTAGGTAAGACTGCAGTCTTATTTGGTTGATGTGTGATCATGAGTGAAGATGTGGTTGTTATATTAGACATGAATGTCAACATAGGTGGTTGTGGAGCAGCTGTAGTCAGAGGGGCAACAGGAGCTGCAACTGTGGACAGAGCAGAAGTTAGTCACTTTCTAGTAGAAAACACAATATGCAGCTAAATAATATTTGAATAAGAAACCAGAATAGAGGCTATTTTGTAATCCAAGGACTAAGATTGGTCCATTTATTGAAAAAAGTGTAATCAATGTTTCTCCTAATTGTTGTCTTTCATTATTTATAATGGCACTCAATAAAAAAAAAACATCTGTTTCTTTGGCCGTTAATAAACATACTTTTGTGTGTCCAAGGGACAAAAAGTTGATAATAAGAGGCTTCAGGAATCAGGCTGCATTTAACAGGTTTGTGATGCTCTCTAACTTCAGCTTCACTTACACGGTCCTGGATCCAGCGTTGATTTTAGGATGGAGAATGAAGGAGGTGTAGTTGTTGTGGTGGATTGATTGGCTGTAGTTGTGACCATAGTTGTAGTTGGTGGAGATGTTGTGGTTTGGCTGGTTGTAGTTGAGAGCGTAGTTGGTGGAGTAGACTGGTAGTAGTTGTGAGCATAGCCGTAGATGTAGTTGGTGGAGGAGTAGTTGTTGTGGTGGGTTGTGTTGGGTTGGCTGGTTGTAGTTGTAGTT